CACTGAAGGAGAAAAAACTTGAAAACAAGAGCCCTAAAATATTTTTAAGCAAAAATAAATTATTTTAAAACTGTCTTTATTTTTAAACCTTGGTCATAATATTGCAGGTATTGCCTTGTGATTTAAGGACCCTTAGAAATAACAAGATTGTAGATCAGTTCTCCTGCATATTCCATAGGTCACAATCCAAACCACTAGAATTATCTAATTCACATGTTATTTATTATGCAATATTTTTCCTGCCTGGAAAAAGCTTCCATTCCTTTATCTGGGAAACTTTTTGTTTGTTTTAAATAAGACAATGAACTGCTTTTAAAGACAAACTTAATTCTCTTGGAGAATTCCCTGTTTGCTATTGTACTTCATACCCACACACCAGCCAATTCAAACTGGCTTACATACAGATAGTTGCAGTAGCAAGTACTGTGGATATAATTCAAGTTAAAAGAGCACTTTCAGTGCTGACAGACACACTGCCCAGTTTTCACCTACTGTTGTTTTTTCATGGCTATCTGCCCTATGTGAATTGCAAGCCATACAAGTAAGAAGAGTAGTTTAAAGTAGAGAAATTATCCGGATTTTTAAGGTCCCTTGTGGCTCAGCAAACAAAAGAACTCTATGCTGATATTCTGGTATCCTCCTGAATTTTGTATCTTGTATGAAGCACGTTGCATCGTTCTCCAGAAATCACCAAACTAATGACCTTTTCTGTTCATTCCTGCCAAGAAGCAGTTGGCAACTGTGGAACTCACTTCAGAGAGCAATGCATTTTACTGATGACATCTTTAGCGTTCAGTTACATTCTTGACCAAAGAATTGACCAAAACAAATTGATACTGGAACAAGAACATCACCTTGCAAGTTTCAGCATATTGTCAAAGTAAATGGGAACCTGTACATGCAGATCCAAGCAATATCAGAAATGAAAGCTGGATCTGGAGAATCTCTCACCTCATCTGCAAATTTTGTAAGCAGCTCATAGCATTTAAGAAACAGTTAGCAAATTATTTCCCTTTAAAAGAATTTGTGTGTGTGTGTGTGTCCTAATACAACCTTTTTTAAACTACAGAAACAGCATCCCAGTGTGCAAACGTAGATGATGTGAGCCACAGTCTAGATGAGCCAATCTCCTGGAGCATTTTTTGCAGGGCAGGTGAGCTAATTCACTTAGCTTTAACCTTGCAGTGCAATGTACCAACAGAGTACAAGTTTGAAATATGTATGATAGAAAGCTGCAGCCACACCATGAATCGCCTATGATGATGCCTGTTGATCCTGAGAGAATGACTGCTTTCATTAGAGGGCTTCCAGAGTCGTTAAAACCTATAGGTATTCAACTGCAAGGAAAAATAGAGGCTATGTCTCAGGGAGAGAGAACCCGGCCAGTGTTAGAAGGAACTGTAACCAACCACCTGCAGTCAGGAAACAAAGCATGGACGTGGGGAGAGGTTGCCCAAGAGTTAATTAACTATGGAAGGAAATATGGGCCAGTGGTTTCTTCCTCCACTAAATGTGAGCCAAGAGAAGTAAGACTTGCAGCAGTCAGCCTTGCCCCCAGGCCTCCTAGCTCAAAACTCAGTGGGACTGGAAGGGTCTCACTGTCAGGAAAAACAGGTAGGCGAAATATTGCTCATAAACGATCCAGTGGCTGATAAGCCAGGGGAACACTCTTACCTCCCTGGCCAGACTGTGTCGATTGACTCAGCTAGCCTGAGGCCAGTTTCCCTAACCTTAAGAGGATCCCTTAACAAATATCCTTGGAAGGCTAAAGACACCCCGAAAAAGGAATATGAAATCAACACTTGCTGGATTGTTCCCTCGTTTTTTAACCATATTAACAAAGCCCAAAAAGGGCAAGTCGGTGTCTTCTTTTATTTCACAGAAGATCCCCGTGGGACCTTGACAGAACACAAAAAGGCTAATAGCTGATTTTAACTATTTGTGTTTTGTGACAGAAATACTGATTTGATCATGCTAGAATACTGAATGTACCTCTTGATTACATACTTTGGTTGCAATCGTGATATGTTTTGTGTTGTTACGGGTGTGGGTGGTGATCGATATCAGTCCTTGGAGCTGTTAAACTTCACAATTGGGTTCAGGGTTTTTTACAGGTCATCCTGGTTTACTGGTACTCCCTGCACGGTGATACCATTTCTTTTGACCCCTTCTTTCACCCCTGTTTACCAAACTGATTGTGATTTGAATGTAACTCCTTCACAGTTTTTGCAAATTCCTAACACCTTTGGAGCTGTTTGCCTTCGGAAGATAGTGCTCAGGACTGTTTACTGGCAGAAGATCTAGCCTGTGACCAAATGACTCCTGTTTGCTATGGGAGGCTGGGGGATGATACCACTGTATCCTGCGAAGGCAAGATGTAAGTTGGTGCCTCCCTGCTTCCTCTTATCTGCTGGCAAGGCCAGGAAGATAAGAACAAAGGAGTTTCCTGCTGAGGCCCCAGAGCCAGAAGCTGCCACTCCAAGGAGAGCTGACTCAACCACGTTGGATTTGAGCTGTCACTCCAAAGACAGCTGACTCACCACTCTGAAACCATTGAAAAGGGGCCATCATCACCATGGTCGTCTCTCGTCGTCGTCGTTGTCAACAGAACAACTCTGCCTGACGACCCGCCGCTACTGAAGATCAAAGACTGAACTAGGAACCTCGCTGGATCCATGGTGGTGACTATGTCCCTCTTGCTTCCTATAAAGACTCTTTGCTTCTTCTTTCCTATCTTTTCTATCGCCCCCCTTCCCTTCCCCATTACCCTAATTCATAATTGTGTCCGTCCTCCCCTTCCCCATTTCCCTGATGAAGATTTGTAATAAACTGGTTGGACCAACATTCGAACCGTTGCTTCTTAATCTCACGCCGGGTATACAGACAATAAAAGAACCTCCTCTCCCTCCTATAAATTGGAGTGAGACAGCAGCTCAGCAACTTGTAGTCAAATTTGATCTGTCTGTCTCAATGGGGTTTTACTTGTTACTGTGCTCTCTGAGTTGAAGGCTAATTTGAATCTTTGATGAACATAAAATGAGATACCATAAGAGCTAAGAAGAAAATGGCTTACTTGGGTTTGGATTCCTGAATAGCTGAGAGGAAACTTAGTTCAAAGGCAATTGCCAAAAACAGGGCGTTAGTTTGTAAAGAAGCTGAGGCAGAAGAATCACATTGTGAAATGTAAAATATTTTAAAGGCTTCTAAAAAATGTTCAGTAAAAACAGAATTAAGTGACGGTGATGGGTAAGTTGCTTTTGCTGATGGGCACGCATTGTACAACACTGGATATAGGAATTGTAGTGATGGTTATTTAAGAGGATGCAGAAGGGCAGATCCTGTTAAGATCACCAGTGTGGAAACCATAGAACTGTAGGAATCATTAGGGTTGGAAAAGACCTCTAACTGCAACCCATCCCTGCCATGCCTTTAACCATGTTCCTTAGTGCCACATCTCCACAGTTCTTGAACACTTCCAGATGGCTGCAGCCTCTCAGTTGTGAACCAGTCAGTGCTGTCTTTGTAGTTTAGAAACTTCCTTGGGTGGGACGGGCCTTTGTTACTGGTTGCAGCTGTGAGGATTAGTTGTGTGTATGTTTGTCAGTCGTGAGCAGCCTGTGTGTGAGTCCCACAGTGACTTGGTGCAGAGCTTGGCTTCACCTGCTCTTTGCTGGTTGGGTCTTTTCTAGTGTCAGAGGGAAGAGTGAGACCAGCTGGGAAACCAGTAACAGAGCTATAGCCCAGACTGCTCTCACATAATGCAGGAGTGTCTATCTTGCTGCACTCACAGAAGTACATACATATATTATCAACTTCTTTCTCATAATACTCATCTTTTAGTTTTAGACTGTGAACTTCACAGCTTCTCTTTGCTCAGTTGGTGTTTCTGGGTCAGTTAGATACTAAGTAATGAACGCTATTAAAAATGTGTTTAAAGCTCAGAGGCCTGGTTTCTATAGCTTGTACAGGAAATCCACCTTTCCAAATGCACATTTCACACTCCTGATTGCTTCGTCTGTTCCTGTTACACATGCGCAGCAGGGAGGAGCACACACTGAACATCCATGCTTGCAAGGGAAAATCTACGTATGGTTGGCTTAACTACATTGTTCCCATTCATTTTAACATACTCTGAATGATCAGTGACACTTGTGAGTGTACGATCCCCTAATAATAACTTATTATAATATATAATTATTTTATATATATGTACAATATATATATTATAATTATAATAACTAATAATAACTTATCACAATAACTTATTACAACTTTATTTCAATATTAACCAGAAGCAAAAGTTCAACAAGATCAACATTAAATTCAAAATTCCAAATGAGTCAGAAAACAGTTCCTCTTCATGAGGATGGAACTTTTACAGTATTCAGAAGTATTCAGAAATGCCTTAAATAACACAGCTTTTTACTGTGGAGTATGTTTCTGAAAACTGTCTCCTTTCCTTTGAATAGAAAGCTGAGTGGTGCCTTGGAAGTGCAGATATGCCCTCCCGTTGAAGTTGGCTAACATCACGCTGCTGGTACAAAGCACCTTCCTTGTCCTGTCTTTTCATGGCTTGCCTGACTGAAGCAAGCAGCATCTGTTCTACAAAACAGCCCGAACAGCAGTAAAGAAATAATTCTTTAGAATCGGTACTGAAGGCAGGCAGCAGAAACACTCTACTCTGAGCCTACTGAAGGGAGACAGACTGGGGGTCAGGGCAGCTCATATAATATTTATGTATGAATCAGTCTCACCCTTTAATGCACCAATTCAAAACAAAAGAACTTCTTATTGTTATTAAACAAGTATTTCATCAGTTCTGGTCCAATTATGCAATGAACTGTAACTACAGACATTTTATTCACTCATATTACTCACTACCAGAGTCTGAAGCTTATCTCTATATAAGCAATGAAACTTACTTGGAACATACACAGGCATATCCACTTGCAGTTTGAATTAAAGAACCCTTCAGAAACTCACTACCTCATGAAGGCTAATGTGTAATATAGGAAGTTTAGTTTAGAAACAGAACTTGTTTAGAAACACAATTTCTACTTTTCAGAAACATACTGTTTATAAAGTGGAGATTTCAGAAGCTTAACAGCAAATTTACACCAGGTCAGTGTTTCAGCAAAAGAAGTTCCTTGCAAAGTCAAAGTTAACTGTATTAAAAGTTACATAAGTCAAATAACGTGCTTGTAAGTTTTATATAGAAGTCAACAATGCAAGATCTGATTTTCAGAGATCATAACACGTTTTCCAAGTGCATGGTTGAATCCGCATACTCCCTTAAGCCATTACTGACACTTGCTCATACTTCTAGGATTCGCATCAGATCACTCACAAGCCTACCACTGCTGCCCATTTGCAGAGATCTATGCTTGGATGCAGGCTGCAGCTCCCTCTTCTGCATTAGCTCTCTTGGCATTTATTTCTGCCAGTGTTCGGCCAAACCGAGTCCACTCATCGCTGCGAGGAACTGCAATTTGCTGTGGACAAAGATAACATTATTTAAGCTCACCAATGTATACAACAGAGCTGGTTTTGAACAGCAGAACTCATAAATAACATCCAGAAGAGCTTCCAACAGAACAGCTTGCCTTTCTTAGTGCAACTTCTGAAGTAGTCAAAACATCAACAGCTCTAACCAATGAAAGCAGCAGAATTTGAGGGTGATGTATGTAAGTATGCAATGATATCGTGACAAGCTTGCATGAGACTGTCTCTAAGGAAGAAGATCAATGCCATGTCTGCAGCCAGTCGGCACATCATGTGCTACTGCAGTATGCACGCTTACAATAGCAACCACTTCCTTACAGGATGAAGTCAAGACTGCTTCATTTCAAAACTTTTTGTTCAATACTCCTCAAGCAATTGCTTGAATTTACACGAACCAGTTATAAAGAACATGAAATCCCTACAAACAAACCTGTTAATGGTTTCATCTTATTCCACCAGCCTGAAAATCAGGTATTTAGTTTCTGACTGGTGTAGCTGCCAGAAGGTATGCTGAAAAGTTATAACAGAATATGTGAAATAGGCACATAAAGGAAATGTTATTTTCCCCCCGCCCTCTCATCACAGAGAGGGAAAGTTAAAAGCAAGTTGCAAAATGCAAGTCAAATAAAAGTTGATTGTTCTGTAATGCACTTTGCACAACACGCGGCATACGTACCTCTCCCACATCATATACAAATATTTGGCCCTCTGAGTCACCGACAGCAATCTCTCTCCCAGTGTGTGTCCATCTCACATGGTTCAGAGCAAGATTGCCCTCTAGAGTAATGCTTGCAGTTGGCACCTGTATTCATTTGAAACATACTATTAAAATGCACAAGGATTTCCTTAATCAAAGACTAGAAAATACTTCATCCATCAGCACTGTATTAAGCAAAATGCTGGACCTGTCAATTTACTCAGTCTGTGGGTCTCAGATGACTCTCAGTGGCCACATGCTATCACTAATGATGTGACCAAAACAACACAATTCCTGCCCTCTGACTTGATCAAAATGCACACCTGCACTCCTGCCATGACACAGGAGCCATTCACCTTGTAGCTCTGTGAGAGAGCAAGGAAGAGCCCTGGGACTTCAGGGAATACTATGGACACAGAGCAGGGATGAAAGCAGCTGTCTTGGCAGTCCAAATCCAGACCAGAGGCAAGAACTGAGTAACTGACTTAAAAACCATGCACTGCCCTACGCTTTTAGAGAAGCCCTTTCTTCTGTATGTACTTTTGTGAAGGTGAAATTTCTAATTGCAGAATATGTCAGAATTATCCCTTGTCTATCTCTAACAAGTTTAGTCTTGGAAAGGATTTATACTACAGGTAAGTACATAGTTTACACCAGAAAACCCAGACACTCCATCCTCTAAGTTTAGAAGCAACTGACAATTTCACTGAAGTTATTACTATGGCAACAGCAACATGGCACTAAGAACAACAGTGGTGTCCTGGAGGCAGGTTTCTTCAGGCTGTTAAGCTGTAGGCTGCCAAGGCCACACTGGGGAAGGCCTAAAAGTCACTTTCACAACGTGGGCTGGTATTAAAGCAGATATTTTACATTCTTGTTATGGTTACAACAATTTAATTACTGCTGCCACTTGTAACGGCCAGTCTTTGGAATTACTACACTGCAATCAAATTAAAATATTCATTAGGCAGAAACTACTGGAGCTTAAGAATATTGAAGGACAACAAAAATACTTTGAACTCTTGTTACTTTTCCAAGTGCACAGACAATTTTCCACCTGTCTCTGACTGCTAACTTGATTGCCTCACCTCAGTGTCATTGTTGAGATTCCACAGGTCAAGCTGGCTCATCCCATCCACGCAGGCAAACAGGGCAGGGTGCGTTGGAGACCACATAACATCATAAACATAATCGAAGTGCTCTTCAAATGAGCAGAGAGGTTTGTTATTCTGGGAAAAAAAAAACAAAAGACATCATGCAATATCCCAAGTCTGCAATTCATATTCTGTCAAGTAAGGCAAAACACAAAACTTATCCATAACGTAAAAAACCCAAACAGCCCCTGCAAAAAGCAGCCAGAAACTAAGTGTATTATCAAAGATATACATTCCAATGCACAAAGTCTTATCTTGGAAGTTACTATAAAGAAATCAGTAGTAAGCCAATACTGTAAGAGATTTTAAACTTAACACAATAAAAATTTTGTACATCACGAAAAAGCTAATTCCATGACAGCACTGTGTTCCTCAGGAAATCAGCACAACAGAAGAGGAGGTAATTCCAGCAAGATGAATACCAGGTGTGTCAATTGCAAGTCTCTAAATGCAGTTTGAGAATTAGTTTTGGTGCTGTCTCCCAGTCCTCCACAAAATCGTAGCAAAACATTTGTCTTATGCATTAAATGAAGTAACTGAATTTAACAATGACTGGTATTTGATTACACTGTAATCACTGTTGATAACAAAGGGCAAAAGGATGAACAGAATGGATCAGAAGTACACAAATGATGTACAATCTGAAAGCAAAGACATCTTTATGTTGTTAATTAGTTTTGTTCATCAGTTGTCTTCTCTTTGCAGTAAACCAAAACCAAGCACTGGGAATCACGCGGACTACTGGTAGGGATCTGGAGAGCTTCACACACTTTGTCTTCAGTTTACCTAAGTTTCCTGAGTTGAGCAGCTTACATTATAGCACCACCTTGTGCCAAGGACTATGAAGAAAACCACTGAACTGTCTATTATAGTTACCTTCGTGGTCCAAAGCTTTACTGTCCAGTCAAAAGAAGAGGTGACAAAAAGATGTGAGAAGTCTACAGGTCCAACTGCTGCATGGCAGTGGATACCTGTGATTGGTCCCTGGTGTCCTTCAAACATCTCATTGATTCCAGCTTTGCTGTTTTAGAATATATAACCAAAGTTAATTTCTCTGAAACCACACATCTGCAGACAGAGACAGCACTGAAACGCGTTTTAAAAATAACCTCAAGAAGATTTTGCTGCTTTGAATGGATGTCTGCCCAACTGCAAAGGCTTAATCTCAACAGGCTCACTGAAGACCAGGCTTGAATACTGACTTCAATTTCAACATTTTTCTTGCTCTCTTTAAGTGCCAAAAATCGACCATGGGGTGCAGAGACTCATTCAGCAGGTACCGGCCCACTCACATTTAACTGTGTTGTTTTAAAGCAACAGCTAAAACTTTGAATCATATAAAGAACAAATCCAGACTCAGGAACAAGCACAAAACTCCCATTGACTTAAAAGAGGAGCTGCAAGTACAGCTTGTGGACACATAAGGGTTCAGACATAAACCAGTAACAATATATCCCTAATAGTCTCCTATCAGAAGTGATGAAAAAAGAGGGGTGGGAAAGGGGGGGGTGGGGGGGGGGTGGAAGGGGGAGGAAGATAGAAAGAATGTTACACAGAAGTGATACAATTTCAGCTATTCTGGAGCCAAAAAGCCCTGCAGCAAGGGTGATGTGTATCTGAGATGAAACCTGGACACTCAGTTACATTTACGAAAGCAATTGATAAGATACAGTCAGACAATTTCAAAATAGATTGAACAGCAGGAGAACAGCTAGCCAATGTAAGATTTGTGCGTGATGTTACTGCACAATTATCTACAGAACTGATACAAAGTTTGGAATGTTCTGCTGCAATTGAAATGAATAAAAACCTCAGTGACCTGCGCTGCCCCCATCACTGCAAACTCCTGGCCAACGCAGAGAGCATAGGACCAGTTCTGTAATCAAGCTCCTCCTGGTTTTAATGAAGCTCTTGGGAAATAGCCTGCACTGGAATTCAAACAGTGCTATTTCAAAGATTGTCAAGAACAAAGACTAAACGTGTGCTAAAAACAATTCTAGCGGTGTAAAGCATACACGGTCCCATCATTTCACAGCTTTTATTTCCTTTGAATAATTAAAAGCTTTTATTCACCTCCCGTGACGGCATGCAGTATAGACTGAGCCTTCTTGACTTCCAACAACAAAGTTGTTGACATTTCCAATAGGGAAGGACATGCAAGTAACAGCCACAGCCTCGGACTGTTTGTCAACCAGCTCCATGCTATCCTGTAGTGAAAACACCAGTAACTTGCTTTAAGATATACAGAAGAGACACTAACGGTTACAAAGTCATTTAGATTTCTCTAGATTCGTTGTCGTTCTACTTCAGTAGAATTGTACAAGAATGAGTTCTCTCTTGTGCTAACAGCGAATATCATAGAATCATAGAACCACAAGGTTGGAAAGGACCTACAAGATCGTCTAGTCCAACCGTAATATAATTTTTACAATGTTCCACAGGGCAGAAAAGGCATTTTATCCAACACCTACTAAGCTTAAGTATAAATGGGTATTGTGAAAACCTTTATTAATTCTTCTCAGATTCATTAAGTTTGCATAAAGTATTTATACAGCACAGATACTATACATACCCAAACTTATCTTACCAGTGGCCGGGAAAGCATGTCTAGGCTCCAAGCGCACAACTTCCCATCATTTGAGATACTGATCAAGTTATGAGCATTCTGGTTCCCAACAACATTTAAACAGTAGACGGGGCGCTAAGAATTATGAAATCATATCAGAAAAAGGAATTACAACTGTAGAGCAGTTAATGCACTACAAAATATACAATGTCATTTCATGAAAGAGAAAAGGTTGATCACAGTATGGTACAGAGAATACTCCTGTTCTTCAGCGATAGCACAGGAAAACATAGACAAACATTTAAGCATTATCAATCAAGTGCTTCGGACAGAGTTTCCTGGAGGTTAAATGCATCTTAACAAGAAACAGTCTTTGTAGATATTTCACCCCCTACCGTGTGAGCAGCAGCTGAAAGTCGAGTTCTCTGCACTGGAGTTCTCTTATTGCTGCGATTATCCCATAGCACGATCTGGCCCGAGTACGTGCCACCAAGCACCAAATTGGGATGAAATTTTGCAAATGTAGCTGACATTACTGGTGACTGAAAGGGGGAAAAAAAACAACAAAACACAAAAATACACAAAATCCTATCATTCACTGATGCTACATCTAAAACTAAAAGAAAACCTGTCCAGTAAGTTCTTTGCTTTGATTTGATATACTATTTCATTGTTCTGTCACATGTGGATTCTAAAACATTTTGTGAACACCAGTAAGTACTTAGTTCTAACTTGTGTTCAGAAACAGAAGTTCTCTTTTTTTCCCCACCCCGTTCACATGAATTCGTTTTGCTCCTAGCATGGTTTGTTAGCAAGGGAAGGTCCAGTAATGCACAAGCTAGTTATTCATGTTTTGCCACGGTCTGTGGTCATTCTTTCCATGAACCTACAAATCTGTCTCAAACATAACTAAGCTACTTTTACAATCTGGGCTTCGACAGTAATCTGACAACACTGGATTACATTTCGATTCAGCTATGCAATTTTTCATAAATACAACATTTTGAAAGTAAAGTGGCTATTTCAGGCTTGAGATAACGGAAGAAATTTGCAAGATTTTGTCTTTCTGCATTTACTGAGAAGCCTCCATCTGCCTGTTTCACTTGCAACATGTGTTTCTAGTTTTCATCCTTGCTCCATATCTCCTCAGGCCATCTTCATTTTATTCTGTAAACTAAGCTCTAGTAGTATACAACTCTGCTCAGTCTCCATACACACAAACCTTCTTTGTGGTTCAGCCACTACACAAGAAGGTTTTTGAGCTTTCAAGTAAATTAAAGTGAGTTCTAAAACAAGACTGAATTCTGAATGGTCAGAAATTCTACAACAGAAGAATGTTTCTAAGCTGCGTTCTTTAGCTATCACCATCAGTTTGCAAACACATTTGGTTAAAGTGAATGCCAGCCCAATGAAATAATTATATTGTAAGGAAGGTAGATGTCCAAGCTCATCAGCATAAAATCTTTATTCTCACGTGACAGAACTGTACCTGGCAATGAAAGATGTACTCTGGCGCAGTCGTCTTCATATTCCACACGAGGGCCACTCCATCAGGCTCAAAAGGTGCACACTCATTGTTGTTGTAAGAGGCAACAAGTAATTCTGGGTACTGAAAAATGGGAAAGATTTACAGTGAGCAAGATGATTAGCCAGTGGTCCAGACAATCCTAGATTCTTTGTTCTGTGCTGCCAGAACAGGGATCAAAGAAAAAGAGAAACAAAAATAACCTTAAATAATCTCTGTGAGAAATGGCATCAGTTAAAACTGCAGTTGTTACAAATTTAGCTCATAGACATTATTAATGGGCACATTAAATTCTTGCTCTTTTATCATAACCTACTTTTATATGTAAAACCCACTACCTTTAATAGAGCTGTCTTCTGAAGCTAATGCTTAACTTTGAAAAGAAGAGCATAAAGGAATTACCAAACATGCTGAAGACTTTCTCTTTATAATTCAAAGGTTCTACTGCTTTTCACATAAGATGTAAATTCTTTTTACTATCTGCAAACCATGGACAGTTTAAGAACTGTATTCTAAATGTATTCTAAGGAATGCATTTAGAAATACAGCCTATTTCAATTCTACACTCAGAAGGTTCAAGTGGATGGAACGAAAAGAACTTAAAGATGACTATATAACATTAGTGGCTTTTTTTTTTGTTTTTCTACCTGAGAGGACCAGTCCAAACAACAGACAACACGATGCTTTGACCAACGTTCATCAAAAAACTTCCTATTTAAGGACAGTTTTGCTCCTGCTTGAATCTCCCTGTGAAGGCAATTAGGGAATGTTCATCTCTGACCACTTTTTCAAACAAAAACATTGTACGTTCACAGTAAAGCACTCAGCGTTCACATTACCTTTCTTTGTCTTCTAAGTCTCCTCCACTGCAGCCGATTTGTTCAGAAAGGGCTCTTTCGACAATCCTCGTAGAGTGGTCAAAGAAACTTAAAAACTCTTCAGAATGCAGAATTTGTTGCTTTTCCACTTCTGTAAGTTCGTGAGGGGCAGCTGGAAAAGGATTACAGGCTTCCTATAGCACATACTTTCAGAAATTCTTTCCAAGAAAGGGAAACAGCAAACAAACAAAAGTATTTATCGCAACGCACAGTGTTAGAAAACTTGTTGCTTAACATCCATGCACTTTATATTAAGTCATCAATTTAACTTCAACTCAGTGGAAAAGTTAAAATGTATTAAATATTTTTCTTTGCAGCACAAAATGCTGAGGTGAACCATACCTTCCTCCTCCTTTTCCTTTTTGAACGTTTTTACTTCCTCGGGTTCAACTAAGGGCTTTGGTGCAACCACATCATCATCTTCCTCCTCATCTAAGAAAAAAGTACAACAAGACTGTCAGTGTTTTTATAAAGGAACAGTACCATTCTGTAGGAACCTCAACATATAAGAGAGTTATAGTTTAGCTTAAAATGGATCTATTTATAAGATGCACATCCCTGTATAACATCATCACATACTCTGCCTGCAGCTGGATTTTAGGTGCACTAAAATACGCACCTGTATAAGCTGAAAAAAGACCCATTAAAAATTGTAAAGGATCCAAAGTGGAAATCTCTCTTCCAACCATTTATGATTCCACGCACAACCACGTGGTTGATGCACGTTCTGTGTAACATGCTGACACATTAATGCTACAGAATACAGAAAAATCAAACGCCTAAAATAGTCTATAGCACAGCTGCTTACTGGGGATCTGAAACCATCAGACTAATGGGTCTTTCCGTGGCACAAAGATGGCTTACATTAGCTTTCAGGTTGCTACTCTGAGAGGCAAATTTTGCTGAAGACAATAACAGTGATACTACATTTTTTCTGTCACTGTAAAGGTGAGTCTCATTATCTGCACCGTGTTCGGCAATGAGGACTTCATAGCAAAATGTCTTTTCTCTAATTGCAGCGAATAACGAACGTTACTGTTTGGGAACGCTGACAGGGCTTAGAGCATTTTCTGCATTCCTGCATTTTATTCCTTGAAAACAGTAAACCAGAAAACAAGTTTAGATTGCTTTGTGTTGTGGAATACAGGCTTCCTGGCTTTTCTTCATCCGCTTTCCCCATATAAGCTTCTGAAAAGACTGCTTTTATCAGCTAAACAGCTACATCACCTGTCTGTAAGGGAACAGCAGCGGGAGTCTACTGCATGCCTCACCACAAGGAACAAGGCAGTATTCAACATGGACTAGGTTTGTTTGTTGCAGCCATCTCCCCGACCCACTAACTACAGCTACCTAACAACAACCACAAAATCCATGCACACAAGAGAAGCAAAGAAAAAGAAAGAAGAAAGCCTGGCCAAGGGATGGGAACCAGCTGCCAAGCCAGGGTCCCAGCAGCCAGCCAGCCAGCTGACTAGATAGCAACAACCAGATGGCACTGCTAGGATTGTCTCTCAGCTATGAGGTGGCGAGGGGATGGCACAGCACTTTTCTGCCTGACTGCTTCTTTCCCCAATGGCAAGCCTGTGCAATTACCAGCACTCCCGGAGGTCTACAGACAAGCCTTTACCCTGCAAATACAGCTTGTAGGCCATACCAGCTGCCAAACCACACACATAGTGATAGGTTTAAAGAGGTCTGAAAATCTTTCTAACTCCATAGTGTAGGCAATAAAAGTATAACTGTACCTGCAGGAAAGAAAGCTTTAAATGACACTGCATAATGCACACAATAATACAAACTCCAACTTAATCAAAATGATAATGATGTATGCCAATCCTACATTACTTGAAATTGAGCGATTTTTACGTTCTGACAAGTTTACAGAACTAGGATAAATGGCACGAATGATTTCAATATATGCTCATACTTTTGAACCAAATGGTGAAGGTTAAAATCTTTCCTTTCAAGGGCCTCAATCAGTCACAAAGGAAAACAGTAAGCACTGTCTTTTCAGCCAGCCCAACCGCATTTGTCAGCCCTTTCTCCGTCAATGCAACCAGAGCAATCAACCTGCCAAACATTCAGAATGGAAAAACAATCTGAAAATACAGGGTATAATGCACCTGCCAGTGAAAATGGCCATTCGAAGAAAAGCTAGTGATCTCAGTGACCCTGCTGAGGAGGCCGTGGTGCAAAGGGGGAAGAACGCGTAAAAGAATTCTTAGTGATCTCCACTCTCTTGCACATTGACACTTGCTTACAAAGCATGCCAATTACAGCTTTTGTGCTACTTAAAAATCAGAAAGCTTTTTGGGGCAAAATAATCACGCAGAGAAACAGAAAGACACTGCTCCTTTTAGATGGGCTCGCGTGTACTGCAGACAAGTAATCTGAACACCCTACAACTCGCAGCAATTCCAAAACTCGTAATTCTTAATGTCAAATCACTGTAAGTGTGAACACGAATTAATTAAAAAAACACAAAAACATAATGCAAGTTAACAGATGCTATTTTGAGAACAACAAACACAGGACAACAGATTCAAGTTATACTTTTATAAAAATGGCCCCCCCGCTCTCCCAGCCAATCAATACAGCAGACTGAAGTCGTGCCTTAAATTCAGAAATTTCGTTGGGCTCACCATGGATACATTATTCCAGCTCTGAAAGTCCCAGATGAGAAATTTCAACCCGACCCCCGTTAGCCATACTACACTGATTCTAAATACCATTTTCAGTGACAGGAGTCAAACTCTTTTCAAATGCAGATGGTCAACCCCTTAGTGCTAAGTGACCTTCTAATCTACACATTTTATTCCAAAGATCATATAGTTGATTGCTCGTGCCTTTTAATGTTCAAAACATAAATGGCATATATTACACAGAGATCTAAATTCCTTCATAGTACTTGCACTGCATACAGCCAGCTGATATTACTGCACTGAAATGCAGGATAAGCACTTATTTTAATACTCTCAAAGTATCAGACATGAAGTTGAACATGTCATCTCACTGTGATTTATCTGTAACTATCTAAATCTTAAAACCGCCTCTGCAAAGAAATAAGTCATGTGCAAACTTTCTTGGATCCCAGGAAAAAAAAAGTTGTTGACCTCATTACCCAATAGTGGAATGCCTGCTTCACCAGCACCTGCAGTCCAAAAAGGCACTATGATGCTGTTCAGAACAAGAGCTAAGAGGTTTTGGTTGTACTTCTCTTTTCCCTCACATACCTGGATTTTATTACCTAGTTCAGGTGATGGTGCTTCCAGGGAATCAGCTAAACAGCAATGTATTACCCAGCAAACACTGGCAGTTCAGGCATACAATTCCTAAAGAAGCTGCACGTCTAGCAAGTCAAAGATCCACATGAAACACTGGTATACATAGTTAGTGTCAGCTATATGAATACAGAAATCTCAAAGGCACTGGCTAACTTCATCCTCATTATTTTCTACTGACTGTACCTATTGGCACTTCAACTGTCAGCTACCACATACAGTTCCTTATTTTATAAAAACAGCTGGTAAGAGTTAGGGAAGACACACGGCTCTGGACACTGGAAATAGGACTCTGTCACATCAACATATCGATGAACATTCTTTATAACATGCCAAGTGATTAAGTCCATGTTTTTTTCTGACAGGAAGCTGGGAATCCTACATTATCAAGCAAGCAAGAAAGAATGCTTCACAGGCTGCCACTTCCACAAGGACAAATTTCTTGTCAATGAACACTAAAAGCAGGTTTAACGAACCACAGGATTTTGACTTTGAGTTTACATCAAAATTGTAAGGTATTTTGGCAAGGTGGAAAGAAAAGCAGTGCTGTATATTAGGCTGCACCCAGCGATAACGCTACAGAGTGAAGTTCCAGCTGTCTGAGTAATCTGTTGCTGCAGAATAGGTTGATCAAAGTTAAATCATCTGTGAAATGGGTGGCTTTTGTTAAGCAGAGATATCTTCATACCAAGTTTTCCCACATATACTTCACTGTACATTTAAGACCTACACAGGGCAATATGTGAATGTATAAGGCTCTGTTATTTCTTCTTAGAATATCAGAACATAAGAACGGTACATTCACAGTAAGCATCTGAGCATACATTCAAGCATCTGAGAAACCAACATACACCCCCAGGTTGTTGTCAGTCTGCTGAAGTGAGAATTAACAAGACAGAAGTACTTGGTATCTTCATTCTTAAATGAAATTCTCAAATTCCTCAAGAAGTAAAGCTAGTGGAGCAATACTGTCTGCAGCCAGTGCTGAGTGCATGCGCACTGCACTGTACAGTGACACCAAGCAAATACCCTGTTTGCTGGGAAAAGTCTTGACTGAGAGGTAAGCAGAAGCGTATTCAACTGTACAGCTATCTTTCCTTACATTAACCACTTCAAGGACTCAAGAACACATCTTTCTATTGGCTGTGCTGGTGACTTCTTCTCGTGCATATTCCAACTATAGCTTAGCAAATCAAAAAGCAAGAGACCAAATAGTAAGGCAGACAGCCAGGCAACAAGAACAGATAAGAATAACGTCTGCACCAACCATTACTGAACTCAGTAGCCAACACAGGACCTGCAGAACGTGAAGACATATTCCAGAATACAAACAAATCTGCTTCTCTGTTGCTAAAACTGCTTCTACTCCAGTCCGCTAAAAAGAAATAGACGTACAAAGGGAACACAGTTTCAAATATATCTTCAGAGAGTAGATCCAAAGCCTGTTGCCTGATAAGAGTATGCCAAGCAGAGGCCAAATAGTAATCCTAATAACCAGTTGACCATACTAACTGAAAAGCACATCCACCAAAACCGGACAATGCGAGAAGCAGGCAGGAGTGTTATACACAGCATCGTGGGAAGTGAGAAATAGAATTGGACAGCAGAAATAGGGATGGCAGAAGGAGGATGCTGGGGAATGGAGCAGCATAACAGTATGTTCCTGTTATGATGGTGACAAAAATTACTGAAGTGGTAGTAATGCTGTAGAGACCCAGATGTTAAGGTTCATTAGTTATGAAATAAGGGAGAACAGCACCAAGTGTGGCACAACCCTTAAGCCACAATAAACGTAATTGGTCCCTAATCCAAAGAACAGGTCATCATTACAGATTGAGAAAAACAAAACAAACACAGCATGTTAGGAAGGAGGAAAAGATAACTATTGTCTCTGCTGCATCCCTTGGAACGACAAACCATTTCATGACTACATTTTATTTCTTTCACATGATAAATACAGCTGCTACAGTAAGATTAGAATACTAAGGCTATTGAAAAATCTGGAAAAAAAGAACAAAGATGTGAAAAAATTAAATACTGAAGACATGTTTTGATGAAAATCTAAACAAGAGGTTTTGAGCACAAAGATATCTTCCCCAACACTATTTCTGTGCTTCTCCTGTGTGATGGGCTTGTATGAATTGAAATCAGAGGAAAAAGCAGTTGTGGTTCCAATCTTCGTATGAGAAATCCTTGAAATACTGTGGATTTACCTTCTAAGCCTACTTTGGACTCGGACATCCTCCTACAAAAACTATGAAACACGCTTATTAACTTCACTTGGGGAAACTGAATATTCCGTACAGTACAGATAAGTTGCATCCCGTAGCAGAAAATTTCCTACTCTATAGAAAACTACATCTATCCTAATCATAAACTGAAATTGATTTCTAGGAGACGTCTTGATTTTATTCTTTTAAAGGATAAATTAAAAAAGAGCCACCTTCCCAAGACAAACTGTTTCTCGAACACTTTAAGGACATAATAAGGCAACATATTAGTACTTGAACTCTTTGCACAAAGAGGCAATAGTGCCACTGGCACTGAGGTCACATTCGAGCTCCAGCACCAATGGCTGCATGCAATCTTGACATACTTTCAAGTGGAGATGTGGCTCAAACTGGTTGCAGCTGACAAGATATGGGAAGAGTTACTCCATATTTAATTTGCCTAGGATGGTACAGCGTATCTGTACTACACAGAAGCACAATGATACAAACTTAGTCTACCTCTCTTCTCTAACTAGAAGCACATGGAACTGCCCTGGCTTACGTTTTGGAACAACTGAATGCTGTCCGTTCTGTCAGCGTCTGAGATGAGTGACCTCTGCATTTTAAAACCAGAACCAGTCAGGCGACAGGAACTCATTGCTTGAATTTAGCTTTCTTACAGCAAACCCCAAATGGGCATCTTCATGCTTATAACTTAAAGCTGACCTTCAAAGCCTCCCCTGTGTAACAGTCACTTCATTTGTTGTGCCACAAAGGCTTCTAAACAATTACCAACTCTTTTAGTTTAAAGTTAGCTTTCTTCTACTTCCTATCTGAACCACCAGATTAGTTATAGCTTGAATGTTTCTCAGCTCAGCTCACAAATTGAAGTATGCAACCACCTGAGACACAGAGAAGTGCTGCAGTGAAAGTAGCAGAACTTTGCTATATAAGTTCGCTAATATAAATTCTAGTAACTTTCTTGTACATGAGAAATAGGCAATCGCATGCTCCAGTTTGGGAGATCTTGAAGAGAAAAAGCTTTCTAAGTTTGCAGTGGACAGCTACTACATACACTGCAGCAAAAGCAAATATGTAACTGGACAGAAATTCAGCTAAACTTTTCTGTGGGGCAACCATCCTAGGAAATTAAGAAACGAAACAAATAGGATTGTTATCTTGCAGCAAAGTCAGCACAGTACACCCTACAGCACAAAAGGACCTAAAGCTAACAGGACTGCCAAGCATATCTAATGAAAATGTTTCCATCATCCTTTGCACAAAAGCATGGCACTAGCAGCATTTTAAAGTGTCAAGATACAAGAATTAGGAGAGGTTGTTCTCTCCACTTTATGGATATGCAGTGAGAAAAAACATACCTGCTGTCACTCCGTTCACTCACTTTGTTGTATAGATACAATGCTTCCAAAAAAGTTCTGGGGGAGTTCTCAATCCAAAATATATCCTACTTTCATTTATTGGTTGACAGCTACTTAAGAAACTGAATGCCTAAACATACACTGAGCAATAAATTGCCATATTATCAGTAAGAGTAATGCTACAATTAAACAAGATGTAGAATGCCAGTAACGCTCTTAAGGCAGACCTACAAGTGTTTAGCAGTAGAATTTATACAAATTATATCACAAATCAACAGCCATTCTACCACATTAAGTTTTGAGATCAAAACTGTTGGCTCTAATTCAGCCAATCACTAAAAAAAAAAAAAAAGAAAAGAAAAGAAAAATACTGCATTAACATTCACCTTCCTTTGGCTGAGTCACAACAGGTGTTTGTGTCTCCTTTGCATACGTAACAATTTCCCGAGGAGGAAAGTCAACTTGTGTGATTTTGGCCATTCCAAGTTCAACAGGTCCACGTCTACATAAAATTAACAGAAACATCAAGGAAAAAGAAGTTAACTTCACGAATTACTTTGTGTTCTGCCTACAGTAATACAAAAATCATCAAATCACAGCATAGCTTTGTGAAACTTAAGACCAGCGGAAACTTATCCCTGAAAAAGTCACAAGATCACAATCAACACTTTATTATAACTATTATTTAAAGTCACTTATATCCACAGCTAAGACAAAAATGTGCAAATATACACAGGTATCTCAATTAAATGATATCACTCTAAAGTTTTGCTCTTTGCAGCTACATACAGTACTGCTACATATGTGAAATACCCATACTGTCAGTGGGACAGATCTGCCTGCATGAGCTGTGTTTGTAGGGGTTTTAGGACTTCAAAACTTAAACAAACCAGCTTCGTTACTCTGAATTAAAAAGCATTTTTCTAGATTATTTAATTTTGTCATCATTTTTATTTACTTCTAAGATGCAGGCCTGAAGGTCACATATTGACAAATGACTTATCCATGGTGCAATACTCCAGTGTACATCACTGGAAAGCTTCAAATATTCTGCCTTTAGCTTATGAGACATGTCAGAAATATGGAAGCAGCCAGGATCAAATTACAATGCAAAATGTATTTCCAAAACCAACAAAATATTAATTCAGTTTCTGTAACATTCTGCTCAACCTAATTATCAAATGTACAGTAGTAATAATCCATTTTTCTTTTAAGTACCTATATGAAGCAAAATTTCTTATTATTTTCTAAGTTAGAAATGGGAAGAGAAAAGGAAAAGCTTCTGGGCAGAATCGTAACTCAGAGCATAACGGTTTCATTATGTGATTATAAGGAGTTACAGCTTCTATAAACATATTTGTCATTTATGCGCATCATAAGAAACGAGGGGAGTCATTCCATTTTTAAACATAGAGTTATTCTAAGCATTATCAAGACAGTACTGTTAAGTTTACATCTTGCCAAAGGAAGACTCAAAGAAAAACGTTAGTAAGAAAGCTCTTTATTAGAAATAAGTATGTCACTTACATTAAACAAGACCAACATTTCCCATTGTGAGCCAACTGCACTACATCTAAGGACACTAAACCTCTCTAACTCACAGAACAGCCTCCTAACAGTAACTCAAAGTCTGAAGAAAAAGAAAGTAAGCTCTTATGCTCATTATTTGCAAGTGTATGAAAGAAGGAATATAAGCAATCTATGCAATACCCCAGATCGGAATCAGAGTGGAGCTGAAGAACTGATGGATCAGTATCCCAGTGCAGCAATGCAGCAAAAAAGGCCAGAGATTAGTGAAGCAAATACACACTATGAAATCCTAGAGTTACAGTAAGCTTACAGTTATTTCATTGTTCACAAGAAACGAAGCAACGTAACATCACTTAAAAGAAATTCAGCAAATATTCAGTGCAACGATACATGCAGTCAATGCAAAAGTTAAAAAGCAAAAACAGACCCCAGAGCTATTAGGAAAGAATTAAATTCTTGTAAAGACTGAAAGGTAAAGATCTGCAAATGTAGCTTTTATGACAGGCTAATACAGATATTTTAAACAGTGATGAGAACTACTAAGAACTTCCTTTCTAAATCTGTTCATATCTGTCCATGCCTTAAGATGACAGATTTGTTAATATAACGCAATCTTGCCCAGAGCAGTAAATATGTGGAGGAAATGGTCATATTGGTAAAGGAAATGAATCAACACACAAACCTTTTGGTAGAGGGGCAAAAATGCATTTCCACTGGGAAAGAGAACTGCTAGAGTTTCCAAGCTGTGACATTGCAGTAAGTACGGGTTAAGCACTGCCTTGGGCTTCTAAGTGTCATCTGTGTTAGAGCCAACTCCACTCAGATATTTAAATCCCATGGAAATAGCAGACTAAATATTAGTAACACGTTACAAAGTCCTGCTCAATAACAAACAGAACAGATCCACTTGAAGCCACTTTCATATTAAAAGAAAAATGAAGTGGAAACTTGCCTTCCCCTTCGTATTTTCATTTAGTCCAACTCCTGCTCTCAGACAGAGTTTAAGAACGACCACATAAGAGATTAACAGACAAATATGCATTGATTTCAGAATGCAAATATGCATTCTGATTTCTTAGATGCTATGTTTTAAAACATTTTAAGATTTTTAGATGTTTTACAGCAAATCAAAAAGAACCCATTATTCTACTAAGGCAAGTCAGTAAAAAGTAGGTTTCCACTTGTATCCCATCCATGGCAATGCTCTTAGAAAGCAAGTGCAGAAATTCAAAGGTAAAACTGATTGCCAACATTTATAAGCCATGTAATGAACACTCAAAATTGTGAATGCTCCATTTATTACCTCATTCTTGTAGAGAGTGTACTAGAAGAATAGCTAGTCACACTAAAAATAATTATTACAAATCCACCGTACTCAACGGCCAAATCATTCTACATAACTTACATTACATCCATTGCCATAGCTTAATATCTGAATCTCTAAAACCTTTATGTATGTTTTGTGCACAAAATTAATTATTCTGCCCGTGCTCTTTCTTTATGCACCTAATTTTGTCTTGATGAAATAGACAAGTTTGGTGCCCAAGACTTCAGGCTGGAGATGGTTTGCACAGATTCAATTTTCCATGGATACAAAAAATGAAACAGAGCAAAGCAAAGCACCACCTACTTAAGGCTTAGCTCTTACTGAGGTTACCCTCCTGCTTTTCAAAGTTTTTTTTTTTTTTAAAAGATGAAATTATGTTCTACAAGTGTATACAACAAAAAACACTTGCAATAGCTCTTCAGTGAGACCAGGGGTAACCTGCCTTACTTGCCTTTTAAATAGTTAACAGAACAAGTACTACGGTACTTATTTTTTTTCCTCAAATATTGTTTTAAGAAAGTAATGTTCAGAGATACAATAAATCTATTAGTTATGTATCACATGGATATAAAACACCGTTTCTTTTGTTTCCCAGAAGTTTGTTGCACCTTAAGTGAATGTATATATCAAATAATCTATTTTTTTTTAATTCTAGGAAGCAAATTTAAATAGAAAGTGACAATTTGATAGCCGGTAATAACAGATCTCAAATAACTTATAGCCCAGTTGAGAACAACACTACTGATTCTTCAGTTACATGACAAGTGATTTCCAACTGCACTATGAATAAGCTCATCTGCTAACAAATCTGCACCCGAGCATTTAGAAAAACCTTGAGGCTCAGACCTGCTGCTTGCTGTATTCCTCTCTACCTGTACTGACTTACTGGTTCCTGCTCAGAATTAAACAACTCGTAAACCTTTGTGCAGCACATGAAAATCTTGACTATTTTCAGGCAGAGATGGCATGTAGTGACACAGTCGTAACCCACGTGCATACAAGGATTTCCTACAGCCCTTCTAAAAGATGTTTCAAAGTGGTTTAAGTATTCAGTCCTTCTCCAAAGCAAAGACTCATATAAGCATGAATGTAATTTGAGATAGCTGTGCTTTAACTAAACTTCACCCACAATGTATATTCAGGAAATTAAAGCATATGAGTAATTATCTTGTGGGGGAAAAAGAAATATCAATATTAATAGGCAAGCGTTGCTTGTGTTCACAGACTGGGCCTGAGAAACAGTAAAAAATTTTCACCTATTAATCTCCACTCTGAATTTGTAGTTTAACAGAAACATTTGACAAGGAAGCATTTCTGAAGCTGTTATGCACAACACATCGCTCAAAGGGATAGAAAAAGCACTGGAATTGAAAAAAAAAACCCAACCATGGCTGTACTAATGCCATCCTTTGGCCAAATGACAGAGATCCTAAGTGGTACAGACAAGTTCTGAAAATGGCTACAAGGTAGAAGATCTTGAGAAATATAGTTCTGACTATAAAACAAACAAACAAACAAAACCCACCAACAACCAAAAAGTAGAAACAAGGCAAAATTGGTAGACAGTATCTCTTATTAGATCAAGTGGAATGGAGGGAAGGAGACAGCCTATATCCATTAGAAAGCTGAAAAGAGCTCAGAAGTTTGACCCCTTAGTTGTTTTACTGTCAAGAGACATTCATGCTTACAAGGATATTACCACAAGACATTCAGACTCTTTCAAGTTTAAGCTCTAAAACTGTAAGTTTAAAAAACTCTAAAGATCACATTAGCAATCTGAAATTCATTCTGTGCAGTCGCATTTCAAATGTTAAAGTAAAGCACTTCTGTAAGCTAACCACTGTTCACAGATTCAATATGATTGTAGAGTCGACCCTTGATTTCTTAAGTTTAATTATCCTGAATGTAAGCATTAAGCCCAACAGCAGACAAGGTGACATACCTGGATCCAACAGCGCCATCGCCGGAGTCCTGGCTCCCAGCCTCACCTGGCGTACTCACGGATTTGGAAGACGGAGAGGTAGGAGGAGGGACTAAAGAGTGAAACAGACAGGTATCCGCTGTCACTACTCGCAGAGGTTGCACAGCTTAGGATGTTTTCAAATTAATTCAACATGAAGTATTAAAAAAAGTGATGGCAAACAAAAAAAAACACGGATGAAAATGAATAATAGAAAGAGAGGGGAAAAGATAATGTTAACATTTCATGCTGGATTCCATGCAATTGTTTGGTATTTATGCATCTGGTGCATACAAGAAGATATGGACGTAAAGGCATTAAAAGAAAAGAAAGGAAAATAAATCTTTAAAATCTGAACTTTTAACAAATGGTAGCACCAGTTTTCAAAGGGTTTTTCCACCAAATCACGTTGCTTACACATCAAAGAAAAGCACTTGTTAACATAGCTCTGTTCTCAATGTCTATTTTTTCAGAAAACTAAAAGTATTTAGCTTTGTATCTTTGCTTCTGATCATATAATCACAGAAGTGCAGACCAAAAAAAAGTGGCTTTGTGATGGAGCATATTTTTGCTTTAGCTGTAACCAAATCACCAGAGTTCAGTGCGTCACACGGATGTTTGTTAGTGGTGCATTTTACGGGGGAATCTTCACGCTTCCTCTCTTTTCACATGACAAGCAGCCTGGTACTGATACAGCAGAACTTGTTGATAGAAGTCAGTTCATTCCCATCACTTAGATGAAGACTGCAATTACATTTTATGAAGCAACATGGTTTTTTTTTGAAAGGATACGTAACAACAAATGATTACCATGCACTCATGCAATTTAAGCAACACAAAGCTACTTCAAAACACCTTTTAACTTTTCTTTTAGAAAGTGACTTTTATTTTTCAAAGAAGCAGTAAAACTTATTAATGAACCTTAGGTTTATGCTTAAGAATAAGGATGCACGTTCAAGTTTCTTTTATGCTTTCAGAAATGTGAAACATTCATTGTACAGATCCACTCCTTAGCAACACTAAACAAGAAACTTCAACCAACAAATTACAGCTACTAATTGGTATCCATCATGGCAGGGCGAGTATTGAGGGAGAATTCTGAATTCAGGTATGCAACATTTCAGGAGAATTTCTTGAAATCACCACTATGTTGGGAATTCTGAAGAGTGCCTCCATCCTATCCCAAAACAGAGACGTGGTTCTGGTTGACAGAAATTCCATCCTGAATTTGAAAAACAGTCAGGATTTTGACTGTTTTTAATTAATGGGCTTTATTTATTAAAATCGCATGCCTACAAGGGGACTTTCATATTCATCTGAAAATCATATAGTTATACTTCATAAATACATAAGTGTATATGGATGCGCATGAAGCTTTCATGTTCTGCAACTCACCGTCACCACCTACTGAACAGTTTATACTAAAAGCAAAGTCTGTAGGCCTGTACATTCCAACGTTTCTGTGCATTACTGGAAATGATGGCACTTTAACGTCACCCTCTTTTAATTGAACAGGTGAAATTAGCAACTTATCATCTCGAACTGCCTGCACTGCTCTCTCTCGGGGTAAGCACGCCAAAAAAAAAAATCAGTAGCTTCGTTTGATGCCTCAGTGCCCTCTGGTGGCACTATCCCAGTAGAGCATGCTAACTTGAAAGTTCTTCATTCACTAACAAGTGGTTTCTTATAAAGAGGATAAGCATGCTTTTTTCCCTCTATCTTACCGTAAGGTTTCTTCAGTGTCATTTGCTGTGCTCTTATAATGTGTGGACTGTCCAAAAACAGTTGTGAAGATGTAATCACACAGACATAGCCATAACCAATTACTATTACTTTTTGTTTGCAAACTCAGCTGAAACAGACTCTTGTCACCAACGAGCCAAACTGAAAACCAAGTTTTAACTCCTCTTTGATTTCAGAACTAGAGACAAAAAAGCAGAGTTGAAGTATCACCCTTTTCACCTTCATCTTCCAAAGGGAGGCAGCTTAGTAAATAAAGGCAAAAAGCAACAATACAATAAACCAACTCATAGAAGAGCAGCATAGATATGAATAAATATGAATCCTTGACAGTTAGATTTTATACTTAGCTTTGCTACTTCTCCATCAAAATCAGTCAAGTAGTCAGTTTAAGATAAGGAAAAATTAGGAAATAAAGGGCAAAGCAAGAAAATGAGCCAATGTCATAAGAAAATCTCAGAATTAAAGACTAAGCATCATGGAAAGAGGAAAAAAAACAAACAAAAAACATCAGAAGAATAATGTGCAAGAGGAATATAATATTACATGTGTAATATTATAATCAAAACACTCCAAATAATCTACCGAGTTGAAAATCCATCTTATACAAGCATTACTAGTGATACGTAATGAAACAATATATAATCGCCACAAATACGAACAACAAGGGTAAAACATTTATCTCATAAAACACCATGAATATTCCTACCGACAGGAGACTCCGGTGTCAAGCCCACGCTCTGAAGTAATGCTTCAGCTTCTCTTCTCTTCTTTTCAAGGTCAGATCCTTCTTGAACAGGAAGAACATCCTTCTTCTGATCAGTCTAGAAATCATTCAATAATTGCATTAAGGTACTTAAAAGGCATTAAGAACAGTTTCATCTTATTTCTGAGACCTAACCACTATGTTTTCTGTGCTGCTAAAACCTATAAGACACATTACACACCTCGCTAATAATTCTGATAGATCTTTCTGTAGATAAAGTAAAACCAGGCAGGAGGAATTAAGAGGTTTTGTAGCTTTAGTACTGTCTTCAAGTCATTTTTTTTAAAGTTTCTTTAGTAGTTCTGTTCACGTTGTTTTATTATCTGCTAGATTTCACATGCACACACAAAAAAGGCATAAAATGACACCCTTACTCACATGCAATTTAGAAATAATGCGGGCTCTTCAGTGAAAGATGCTGATCTCTCCATTTTTTCCCAATTTCATTTAACTGCTCACACAACTACATAAATTTAACTCCTAGCTTAAGTGTCCACAAGTCAGTCACTGGCAAGCACGTATTTTTAATTCTTATTATAGAAATGCCAGACTTCAACAGAAGCAGCAAAATCAGTTACAATAGTCCTACAGAATAAAGAAAGTTTCCTCCCATGACTGCACATTATACCTTTGACCTACTGTACATCTTTGAAAAAAGCCTCTTCCAAACTTGAGAGCAAGTCCCCAACTGATAAGCTACTGTATCACGGGTGGAAGCACAAGCACAGGCAATGCAGAACTACATCATCATCAGAGCACAAGTGCAGGATTGCCCTGAATCATTTTGCTGGCAAATGCCTGGGCTTTAGTCATACGCTAACTGAGAACATCTTGAAGATTGTAACTAAAAGAAGAGACGTCATGAAGAGGTGACAGAGCACACCAAAGTACTTCAGCAGACATTCTGTTTATGATGTATAATCCCTTTTCAGGAGAAATTTAGCAATGTACCACAGCCTGTCACATAACTTAGCAGAAGGAAATCAAGCATAACAAATCTTGAGTAAGAGAGCCAAAGAACACAGCACGCTGTTTGTATGATAACAATACCGACAGTTCCTACAGACATCTCTGAAACTTCATTTTAGAACGGAGTTCTCTAAATTATGCCATTGCAAATAATGAAACAGAGTTTTTGAGTAATACTTCAGCCACTCCTCACAGTAATTTCATTAACAATGTCCCATGCACACAAGACTATCGTGCTTATTTCTAAAAACGCAAGCATTTTCAAATACTTTACCGCATGGATAATTCTAAAAATCAAGGTTTTTTTAATTCTCACAAAACATAAGCACTACACTTGCACAGATCATTAAATTGACATTCCCTAGATAACACACAGCAAACGACTAAGTGAACCTTCTCTTTTTAGGCACGTTACATATGTTTGGGGCAAGTTACATAACCAAACAGCCAGCTTGCAAAGAGAAAACAGTTTCTCACTTCTTTTTCCTTTCTTTCTTCCTCCTTTCTTTTCTTCTCCTCTCTGATCTGAGCCAATCGCTGCCTCTTGCGCTCCAACTCCGCCTTCAGTTTACTTTTGTCAGACATGACTGCAACACTGATCAACACAGAAATCACTCCAAAAGGTTCTGTTTGGTTAAGATTGCTTATTGACAGGAAAATTGCTATCATTAACGTAACTAGGCTAAGTGGCTAAAGACAGAACAGTGAAAAGTCCTAAAATCATAACTGAAGTTACATTCCTGTTTTCACACTTAGCAGATTCTCACTGCTAAAAAGATTGATTTAAAAGACAGAAGGATGACAAGGTGACAGCACCTTTTCCCAATGTATTTCTGAAGCTTTTTTGAGACACTACTTTGAATGATACATGGAGCTCTGAAGACGAGGTTATATTACATTGCACAGAATTCCAGGACAGGACAGGCCAGAATTCCAAGGCAGGCAGGAAAAGCCGTGTGGGCAGGCAGGGCCAACAGCAGCTACATCTTCCTGCTCAGCACATCCACGCCAGGAACCAAAGCACAGGAGTGGCTCCAGCACGGCTGCGGGCCCCACAGCTGTTATACACACACAACAGCGCCGCAAGCCTTCACAAGTGCAAAACAAGAACAGCCACACGTGTCTGCACAGCACACCTAAGAGCGGAGCTCCATGCAGGCCTCCCACCTGAACCCTGGCGCACACGTCGGCAGCTTTTCAGCCACGTTCTCTGCCAACATGGAAGGGTTAACAGAAAATAACGCACCGCCGGCACTGCAGAGCGGCAACGGCCGGGCCGCGCCCTGCTCCCAGGCCCACCCGCACCCCTCACGGCCGGGCCGGGTGGCACAGCGGCGGCACGGCGACCCCGGCCCCGCTGTGAGACCCCGCGCACCTGCTGGCGAGACCCGCTCGGCTTCGTGCCCTCCAACCTCGGCTGGGCCCAGCGCCCGCTCCGCTTCCCCCCGTCCACAAAGGCGGCGGCAGCAAACGGCGACAGCCTACAGTGGGCGCGGAGGCTCAAACCGGCCGCAGGGGGCTGTGAGACGCGGGACTTACGCTACTGCTGTAGCGGAAATGCTGAGTCGTGGCCTGAAGCAGTGACTGAGCAGCTGGCGGGAAGGCAGGGCCAACCCAGGGCAGCTCAGGTGCCTGTGTGATTGGAAGGGGTGGAGCCAGGATCCAGCCCTCGCCAGACCTCACTTAAAAGCTGGCAGTAGTCGTGTGAGTATCTTGCTGGAGATCCTTGTGTGCTTGAGACCTTCTCAAGGTAAGTACTTTGATTTTAAAATAGTCGTTTTCGTTTCGTTTTGCAAAATAGTCGTTTTGCAAAATAGTCGTTTTGCAAAATAGTCGTTTTGCAAAATAGTCGTTTTGCAAAATAGTCGTTTTGCAAAATAGTCGTTTTGCAAAATAGTCGTTTTGCAAAATAGTCGTTTTGCAAAATAGTCGTTTTGCAAAATAGTCGTTTTGCAAAATAGTCGTTTTGCAAAATAGTCGTTTTGCAAAATAGTCGTTTTGCAAAATAGTCGTTTTGCAAAATAGTCGTTTTGCAAAATAGTCGTTTTGCAAAATAGTCGTTTTGCAAAATAGTCGTTTTGCAAAATAGTCGTTTTGCAAAATAGTCGTTTTGCAAAATAGTCGTTTTGCAAAATAGTCGTTTTGCAAAATAGTCGTTTTGCAAAATAGTCGTTTTGCAAAATAGTCGTTTTGCAAAATAGTCGTTTTGCAAAATAGTCGTTTTGCAAAATAGTCGTTTTGCAAAATAGTCGTTTTGCAAAATAGTCGTTTTGCAAAATAGTCGTTTTGCAAAATAGTCGTTTTGCAAAATAGTCGTTTTGCAAAATAGTCGTTTTGCAAAATAGTCGTTTTGCAAAATAGTCGTTTTGCAAAATAGTCGTTTTGCAAAATAGTCGTTTTGCAAAATAGTCGTTTTGCAAAATAGTCGTTTTGCAAAATAGTCGTTTTGCAAAATAGTCGTTTTGCAAAATAGTCGTTTTGCAAAATAGTCGTTTTGCAAAATAGTCGTTTTGCAAAATAGTCGTTTTGCAAAATAGTCGTTTTGCAAAATAGTCGTTTTGCAAAATAGTCGTTTTGCAAAATAGTCGTTTTGCAAAATAGTCGTTTTGCAAAATAGTCGTTTTGCAAAATAGTCGTTTTGCAAAATAGTCGTTTTGCAAAATAGTCGTTTTGCAAAATAGTCGTTTTGCAAAATAGTCGTTTTGCAAAATAGTCGTTTTGCAAAATAGTCGTTTTGCAAAATAGTCGTTTTGCAAAATAGTCGTTTTGCAAAATAGTCGTTTTGCAAAATAGTCGTTTTGCAAAATAGTCGTTTTGCAAAATAGTCGTTTTGCAAAATAGTCGTTTTGCAAAATAGTCGTTTTGCAAAATAGTCGTTTTGCAAAATAGTCGTTTTGCAAAATAGTCGTTTTGCAAAATAGTCGTTTTGCAAAATAGTCGTTTTGCAAAATAGTCGTTTTGCAAAATAGTCGTTTTGCAAAATAGTCGTTTTGCAAAATAGTCGTTTTGCAAAATAGTCGTTTTGCAAAATAGTCGTTTTGCAAAATAGTCGTTTTGCAAAATAGTCGTTTTGCAAAATAGTCGTTTTGCAAAATAGTCGTTTTGCAAAATAGTCGTTTTGCAAAATAGTCGTTTTGCAAAATAGTCGTTTTGCAAAATAGTCGTTTTGCAAAATAGTCGTTTTGCAAAATAGTCGTTTTGCAAAATAGTCGTTTTGCAAAATAGTCGTTTTGCAAAATAGTCGTTTTGCAAAATAGTCGTTTTGCAAAATAGTCGTTTTGCAAAATAGTCGTTTTGCAAAATAGTCGTTTTGCAAAATAGTCGTTTTGCAAAATAGTCGTTTTGCAAAATAGTCGTTTTGCAAAATAGTCGTTTTGCAAAATAGTCGTTTTGCAAAATAGTCGTTTTGCAAAATAGTCGTTTTGCAAAATAGTCGTTTTGCAAAATAGTCGTTTTGCAAAATAGTCGTTTTGCAAAATAGTCGTTTTGCAAAATAGTCGTTTTGCAAAATAGTCGTTTTGCAAAATAGTCGTTTTGCAAAATAGTCGTTTTGCAAAATAGTCGTTTTGCAAAATAGTCGTTTTGCAAAATAGTCGTTTTGCAAAATAGTCGTTTTGCAAAATAGTCGTTTTGCAAAATAGTCGTTTTGCAAAATAGTCGTTTTGCAAAATAGTCGTTTTGCAAAATAGTCGTTTTGCAAAATAGTCGTTTTGCAAAATAGTCGTTTTGCAAAATAGTCGTTTTGCAAAATAGTCGTTTTGCAAAATAGTCGTTTTGCAAAATAGTCGTTTTGCAAAATAGTCGTTTTGCAAAATAGTCGTTTTGCAAAATAGTCGTTTTGCAAAATAGTCGTTTTGCAAAATAGTCGTTTTGCAAAATAGTCGTTTTGCAAAATAGTCGTTTTGCAAAATAGTCGTTTTGCAAAATAGTCGTTTTGCAAAATAGTCGTTTTGCAAAATAGTCGTTTTGCAAAATAGTCGTTTTGCAAAATAGTCGTTTTGCAAAATAGTCGTTTTGCAAAATAGTCGTTTTGCAAAATAGTCGTTTTGCAAAATAGTCGTTTTGCAAAATAGTCGTTTTGCAAAATAGTCGTTTTGCAAAATAGTCGTTTTGCAAAATAGTCGTTTTGCAAAATAGTCGTTTTGCAAAATAGTCGTTTTGCAAAATAGTCGTTTTGCAAAATAGTCGTTTTGCAAAATAGTCGTTTTGCAAAATAGTCGTTTTGCAAAATAGTCGTTTTGCAAAATAGTCGTTTTGCAAAATAGTCGTTTTGCAAAATAGTCGTTTTGCAAAATAGTCGTTTTGCAAAATAGTCGTTTTGCAAAATAGTCGTTTTGCAAAATAGTCGTTTTGCAAAATAGTCGTTTTGCAAAATAGTCGTTTTGCAAAATAGTCGTTTTGCAAAATAGTCGTTTTGCAAAATAGTCGTTTTGCAAAATAGTCGTTTTGCAAAATAGTCGTTTTGCAAAATAGTCGTTTTGCAAAATAGTCGTTTTGCAAAATAGTCGTTTTGCAAAATAGTCGTTTTGCAAAATAGTCGTTTTGCAAAATAGTCGTTTTGCAAAATAGTCGTTTTGCAAAATAGTCGTTTTGCAAAATAGTCGTTTTGCAAAATAGTCGTTTTGCAAAATAGTCGTTTTGCAAAATAGTCGTTTTGCAAAATAGTCGTTTTGCAAAATAGTCGTTTTGCAAAATAGTCGTTTTGCAAAATAGTCGTTTTGCAAAATAGTCGTTTTGCAAAATAGTCGTTTTGCAAAATAGTCGTTTTGCAAAATAGTCGTTTTGCAAAATAGTCGTTTTGCAAAATAGTCGTTTTGCAAAATAGTCGTTTTGCAAAATAGTCGTTTTGCAAAATAGTCGTTTTGCAAAATAGTCGTTTTGCAAAATAGTCGTTTTGCAAAATAGTCGTTTTGCAAAATAGTCGTTTTGCAAAATAGTCGTTTTGCAAAATAGTCGTTTTGCAAAATAGTCGTTTTGCAAAATAGTCGTTTTGCAAAATAGTCGTTTTGCAAAATAGTCGTTTTGCAAAATAGTCGTTTTGCAAAATAGTCGTTTTGCAAAATAGTCGTTTTGCAAAATAGTCGTTTTGCAAAATAGTCGTTTTGCAAAATAGTCGTTTTGCAAAATAGTCGTTTTGCAAAATAGTCGTTTTGCAAAATAGTCGTTTTGCAAAATAGTCGTTTTGCAAAATAGTCGTTTTGCAAAATAGTCGTTTTGCAAAATAGTCGTTTTGCAAAATAGTCGTTTTGCAAAATAGTCGTTTTGCAAAATAGTCGTTTTGCAAAATAGTCGTTTTGCAAAATAGTCGTTTTGCAAAATAGTCGTTTTGCAAAATAGTCGTTTTGCAAAATAGTCGTTTTGCAAAATAGTCGTTTTGCAAAATAGTCGTTTTGCAAAATAGTCGTTTTGCAAAATAGTCGTTTTGCAAAATAGTCGTTTTGCAAAATAGTCGTTTTGCAAAATAGTCGTTTTGCAAAATAGTCGTTTTGCAAAATAGTCGTTTTGCAAAATAGTCGTTTTGCAAAATAGTCGTTTTGCAAAATAGTCGTTTTGCAAAATAGTCGTTTTGCAAAATAGTCGTTTTGCAAAATAGTCGTTTTGCAAAATAGTCGTTTTGCAAAATAGTCGTTTTGCAAAATAGTCGTTTTGCAAAATAGTCGTTTTGCAAAATAGTCGTTTTGCAAAATTGTCGTTTTGCAAAATAGTCGTTTTGCAAAATAGTCGTTTTGCAAAATAGTCGTTTTGCAAAATAGTCGTTTTGCAAAATAGTCGTTTTGCAAAATAGTCGTTTTGCAAAATAGTCGTTTTGCAAAATAGTCGTTTTGCAAAATAGTCGTTTTGCAAAATAGTCGTTTTGCAAAATAGTCGTTTTGCAAAATAGTCGTTTTGCAAAATAGTCGTTTTG